AAAGCCTACTGGTACCTAAACCTGAATCTTGGTTACACCCATGACTCTGCTGACACTGTTTCAGTTAGAAAGAACGATATTGGGATGGAGGCTTGAGTGCTGCCATTCTTAATCTTCCTTATGAAGGCATCTAAAATTTAAGAGTCAGATCCATGGTTGATCCAAACCATTTGTCTTTGTGGGATTTACACAGAGAATAAATTTTGGCCAATGATGTGTTCTATAATACTTTTTTCTTTATAACTCTGGAACAGGGTTATATCTTAGAAGTTTTCATGATCCCATTGACATTTTGCAGGGCTCCTTCCTTGCAGCACCGTGGAATGCTGTGTTGCTTTTGGGAAGTTGCCACACCATGTTGTCTAGCCCCAGGCTAAGGGATTTTTTTTTTTTTTTTGCATTGTTTCAACTGTTTTCACTTTTACTTTATTTCCATCCTCCAGCAGAATTTCTTTATGAATGTGGCAGCACATTGGGTTTCTTGGTTTATGAGTTGTAGTTAGTTAAGTAGCCTGCTGGATTTATTTGCCCTTATCTGAGAAATTTTAATACCGTAGCAGCAACAGAATGAAAGGTGACACTTCGGGAGCTGAGCTCTTGTCAAAGTGAGGGAAGAGATGGGAAAGTTGTTCTCCCAGAACACTGCTGATCTGAGCTTTTTCTAGCTGTCTTGTTTCTATTTAAGTCCCTGGATGAGACATTATCACTCTTGTAAATACAAAAGGAAATCTTTGCTAGCGTATATAGCAATGTAATTTGCAATGTACCTGTATGTGTGGTGCATGCATGTGTATACATTGAGATCTGTCCTCACTTTTCTTAAATATGACTTAAAAAAAAAATAAAAAATGCTCTGGTTGCTTCTCTGAGCCTGTGTTGCTTGTATGCTTTCTGCTCTTAGTTACGTAGGTTTTCTGTAACTAAGACTGCATTAAATGCCAATCCTCATCTTATTTTTACTTTTTTTTTCTTTGAGCCAGTTAAATGGTCAATTAAACTGTCACTGTGAATGAAATCTGAATATGTTTGTATACCAGTGGCAAGAGAAATGTTGGCTGTCCCGTCTGAGAGCTATAACTTAGCATTCAGTCTTTTGTAATGTTCTTGGTTTCAATGAACAGATAAGTACTGTTTCCTTTCATAATAGAGTGACTGTTCACAGAGGGGTTACTGAAGGCTTTACTGTAATAATAAGGTGAAACTGGGATGAGGAGACTCATCTTGTACAATAAAACATAGCTCCATTTACTGATCTAGAAAAGGAGGAAATGTCTGAATGCTGCCTCCTCATTTCTCTTGTAGGATTACCTTGACTGTATCACTGACCAGACCAAGCTCTCCCTGGGGGCAGAAGAGCGATCAGCCCTGTTTGGAAACATACGGGATATCTACCGTTTCAACAGGTAAATTCATATTTATCTAAATGAAAACAGTTCAAAAACCTGCATTAATGGGAAGAGAGCAAGCCAAACAAATGCTCTTTTTATCATTTTAATACAGCCAAGATATATAAATTGAGAAATGGTCTGTCTTTGGTTCTCAGCGGGGTTGGTTTGCTGAGATCAGATTTTTTTAGCTGTTTGTTTTATGAATCAAATGTGGTCTCCATTTACTTTTTTTGTTTTCATGCTGGGTGTATCCATGAATACAAGCCTAACCTGCTCTGTGCCCTCGCTGAGGCTAGTGCAAGACCACTGTGAATGAAATTCTTGACCTACTAAAGAGTCATGATTTTATTCCTACTGTATTAGATCCTTTTGTGTACCAGTATACATCACCCAGGACTGGCTTCTGTAGCATTTTATACTACTATGGACTCCCTGAATTAATTTCTCAAAACTGTGTTCAAGTACCTTTCCATTTATTGAAGGCTTCTGGTTAGTATTTTTACAGCATTCTCTCAAACTCTGCAGATGGAATTGTAGTGTATATCGCAAGCCTGAAGTAAAGTTTCTTGCTTGTATAGCTATTGCCATACTGTGTGGGGCCTGCAGTATCTGCAGTTTTGGAACCATGCTACTGCTGCTTTTGTCTGAATCCTCTGTTACTATAAAAATAATTAACTTATTCAGCATTTAAGGAAAACCTGAGTATTCAATCGATGCAAGAAATAAATGGGCATAAAGTTCCCATGTCTTTTATATCCTATTACTCCTGTAAAAGCTCTCTTAGCTGTGCTATAGTTGATAAAACACCTCCCAAACTACCGTGTTCTTTAAAGAACAAATAATTTAATTGAATCAAAAGAGGATTCTGAAGTGGAGGACTAGTGTCAAAGAGCATCTTCAATGTTTTTCCATCATTATGGGAAGCTACTTTAAGGTGCCTCAGCTGCTGGGATTGCTGTTGAGTGTCAAAGGGAAGAGTGGGAATGGATCTATTCAGAACTTATGGACAAAGATGAAACCTAAAATCTTTTCCTGAAGCTTAAAACAGCTGCTGCAGAATAATGGAAATAACACTTAACTAGAAAGCTGTGGTGTCGTGCTTCAGCTACAGCGACTGACTTGACTGAATGTCTAACACGATGGAAAATACATAGTGGTAGCCTGATCATGTGTTTTAGAGCCATGAGACAATGATTGTGAGCTTACAGCTTCCCAGTGGTCACAGGATGGAAAAAACAAGTACTGGCCATTATATTTTCTGATCCTTCAAAAGCTAGAGAAATGACAGACTTGGTAGCTTGGACACATTTATATCAGCATCATTGCAAATATTACCTAATAAAAATACCTTCAAGTATGATCAGTCATTATACAGAGTAATTGAGTTGCCGAAAAAGACTTGCAGAGGTTTTTTTTTTTTTTTTTAAAAAAAAAAGAAAGGTAGAAAGAAAAAAACCCCCCAAAAAAACAGTTTGGGACAATTTTAGTGATAGATATGTTACAACGGCTAAAACTCACTGGAAAGTTGTCCAAAGACTCTAGTAAATTGCTAATGTATTTCAGACCTTCTAATTTAAAATTCTACATGGAAATTGTGAGCTTTTAAGACTAAACACTCATTGTAGATCCCAATATAGCTTCAAGGATTAAATTCCCTCCTGTGTGAAACTTGGCATGTAGCTTCTGGGTCCTAAACATACTCTAGAGCCTTTTTGTTTATTTTTACCTTTGAAAAAGGTCCATTTGGCAGTTCTGTGTTAGTAGTTTCAGATGCTTTTTGTGAGCATGATTTTATAGTTTCAGAATTACCTTGTTTTTCTCAACTTCGAATTTGAGCACTAATCAGTGATCAAAAGTTTTAGTCTTGGGATTTTTTTGGACTTTGTACAGATCTGAGAAATTTAATTTCAGTAAATGGGAATTTCTGTCAGCTAAACTACTTAGAATTTTTTTAGGTGTTGCATTGAATGGCAGAAATGATGGTCAGGATGGTAACTGCTAGTCCTGTGGTTATGATCTCTTTTTGGAAAGCTATTTCTTAAAGCAGAATAACTGACTATATACTGGTCTACTAATCCTGCTCTGTCTCTTGAGAAAAGTTCCCCCACTATTAATTTATTTATTTGGAAGTGGGAAGTGTTCTCCAAGTCAGCATTTGCTGCCTTTCTTCCCAGCCTCTCCTGTTGAGATTCTTTCCAGTGTCAGTTTAGGATAAATTTGCCATCCAATACCATGACTCGATTCTGAAAAGGGAACTCTGGAGAAAAATGTGCTTAAGTTTAGTACTTCTACCAACACTCAGCCAAGCTGAAACCTCTGTTGCTGACACAGGTCATCCTACATGGTCCTTGTCCATCCATGACTACTGAGGCACACAAATACAGTGCAGGGCCACTTTCTGTAACTGCCGTACTCAGCAGTTCCTCTGCTCTGAACTTCACGGTTCTGAGGACTGGCTTGTCAAGAGGAGCCTTCATAAAACCTGTAAGAGCTCACCTTTAATGGAAAAGGTTTTTTTCTGAGTGGAAAGAAATTTGTTTTGGCCACAGGATTTTTGTGACAGTGAAGTTATATCAAGGCTAACTTTCTCTTGATTGTTTTTTTGTTTTGTTTTCTTGTAAGTCTGAGCTTTTCAGATTAGTTTTCCAGAACTTTGTATGGTGAAAATATTCTACCATGAAGACCAAATTGTGCCTGCTATGTCTATTTTTGTTTTGAATGCTGTGCTCTGTCAGGCATTGAGAGAATGAAGTTTTTCGGAGGTGCTATTACTTTAGCATTTATGGCTACACTGCACAGTACTTGATCATCAACTGTTTTAGTTGTTTTTTGTTTGTTTGTTTATCATGGGTTCAGGAAAAACCACACTGCATCTTTCCATGCCTTCCATTCAACCAATATGTCTGTCTGATGTCCCTGTCATTACCATCTCTCTCTCACTCCAAATCAGATTAAAAAGGAGGAGAAAAATACTTGTGCCCTTGTTTTAAAATGATGTGATGATGATATAAAATGATTTTTTTAAAAAGTGCCTTGCCTGCAAATATGGTGATTATTTGCAGACCTATAAATGCGTTTATCTCACTCCTCTTGACCTCCAGTAGTCAACAGCTTGATACTAAAGCTTTCCTCTATTATTTATTCTGCCTCCTGCTAGGTACTTAGATATAGCCTATAATAATAGCCCTGCCTTTTCACATGTCAGCTTGGTATTATAGGGATTTATTTAAATTTTTTGGGATTCCTGGGCATGACAGGTTTGTTATTTTTACAGTGGTAGTTTGCTCTTACCGATCCCATTCTTACCAGCCAGGTGAGACAGAAGAGAGTGCAGTATAGGTAACAAAATCTTTCAAAGCACGGCCCTTACACTATGGGCTTGTGCTGAAGACACAAGCCACTAGCATACTTATTGCACAAACTTGGACTCCTTGCATGAATATATAAAATCTTTAAGTGTTGCATTACTGTATCCTGTAGGAGAAATAATGTATTATAGGAGACCAGTAGGAATAAAATGGCAATCAAGGTGCTACATACTCTAAGCCATCAGGAGAACGTCTGCCTGCTGGAATCTTCTGATCCTCTTCAATGTGTTTGATGTTATTTCCAAAACTCATGTGTGGAACAACGTCAGTCATTATAACTAATGGTTATGGTCACCATTGCTACAGCTTGCTTCTTTTGCTGATGTAAAGGAGCTGCCTGAATGTGGGGTATCAAGCAAAGGTTGTATTTTTATTCCCATTTTGATGAAGAGAGAAATTGAGGTGTGTAGGTTAAATTGGTGCTGTAAAGAGCGGCTTAGTGACCACTGAACCGAAGGTCTTTGTCTTTGTTCCTTGTGACTGACTGCTGATTTCTTCCCTTCCTTCCTCCAGTAATTACAGAAGCAAAGAACAAGTCAGGAAACTTTTCTGGTTTACTCCTTTTCTTACTTGTGGAGGGAAATTGTGTCTGCCTAGAGGGGAAAGGGTAGTTCCCTGGATACAGGCTTAGCAACTCTTATGCAAAACTCGTTGGAACTAGCTGTGAACTGTGAGAAAAGTAGCCCTAAATGGAAAATCACCTGATGAGAAAGAAGGGAGAAAAAAAAGCAAAGCTCTATCAGAGAACAATTTGGCAGACAACTCAGTTCCTTCTCTTGTTTTTCTGTGTCCATCTTTTAGTAAGACTAAAGACTATTTGGATCAAGGAAGAGACCCTTGAGGTTTTCTTCTTCTGCTTGAACTCTTTCTTTCACTGAGTTGGCTTTTCATACAACAGTGAACATGCTCCCTTTTTGCTTTGCTCCTTTTACAGTGAATTAATTTCCTACTTGGCATGTCAAAATTTTAAAATCTTCTCAGTAAGGTTTTATTTTTATGCATGTAGAATTTATATATTCCCTTCCAGAAAACTTTTTCCATTTTTCTTCTGTGAAGAGACCCACTGAAGGTAGACAAATTTTCTTCAGTGAGCTTACTACAATTCTTCTTGTATGTGTAATACATCCCTGGTTCTCATCTGTGTTTTTCAGACCAGTTCCTCATCTTCCTCAGTCAAGTAAAGCTCCTAGAACATACCAAGTCTACTTAGGACAGACCACGTGTTTCAGTATCTTTTTAATTTTGTTAGTTTTAAATTGTGCTAGTTGATACACAAGCCACGCAACTGTCTGATTACACCACTATGAATATTGTAGAAGAGCTGTCAGTCTGGAGGAAGTGGATCAGCTTTGCTTAGGAGATCAGCAATCCATGGTCATTGTGATGACTTGAATTTTTAAGTGTGTAGGAATACCATTTCCACAGAGTACTCCTCTGCTTCCAAACAAAAAAACCCAGCAGCTATACATCTAGGGGTAAGAGGGGCATCAAAGGGGTTCTCATTCCCTTTTTAGGACTTCTGGCATTGTTAAGTGCTTTGGGCATCACTGCCATGAATGATGAAGCACTGTCTGGCTCCAAATATGCAGGTGTGTCTGTTCCCAGGTGTGACATAATTGTCTTTCCTTTTCCTGTTCTTTGTTTTAGTGAACTTCTGCAAGATTTGGAAAACTGTGAAAATGATCCTGTGGCTATAGCAGACTGTTTTGTTTCCAAGGTAAGTGGCTATTGCAGGAGTCTGCAGCACAACACCAGCTGCAGTGTGATATAGGGGAATAAGATTAATTTATTAGCTTTTGAGACCTTATTCTGACAGCTTGTGTGACTTCAACCAAGAAAAGTTAGCAAAACTATGAAAAAGGAAGGAATTTATCTTAGTATGTGACAGGGATATGCCTCTGAGCTGCATTTTAAAAAATGAGTAATAAGATGTTATTTTTTTCAATTAGTTTATATGAATTGATGGAGCTGTTGATTTAGAGTTCATTTTTAGATCTTTTTGTAGAGTATTACAGGGATTATTTTTTCTTCTCTTTTAATATAGATGATGAAGTGGTACTCTAGTTATGCCTTGTCAGCTTGAAAACAACTAGAGAATACAATTTGGCTGCATTTTTAGAAAAGGCAATAGTCTTAACGCACTTGTGGCCATATTGTTTTCTGAGGTGCATTTTTCCTGAATCCAGCAGCCATGCCTTTAATTTTCTTCTATGGAGATGGCCCAAAGTCCAGCCTTAAAATTCTTCTGAACATTGCTCTGACATCTTTATTCTGTTGGGCAATTCTGAAGCTAAAAAATACGGGTAATGAGAAGTTGTTAGGTACAGGAGAAATACAAGGAACCTTCATTAGGTGTCCTTCATTGTAGGAAACACAGAGACCCAGTCAGGGAGAAGGGGAATAGTTATAATGGGTAGGACAACAAGAGATTAAGTAATTTTGGCTACAGATGACTAGTTCACTGCAGACTTCACCAGAGAACCTGCGTATGCCTTAAATCTGTAAAACCCAAATATGTTAAGAAATTATACCACCTCTATGGTATTTCTGGAGGAAGAGGAGTGGAAGAGGGGGCATGTAGTTAAGTTTGGATAATTTCTCTATAGGTGTGTGTTTGCCTTTTCCATTTTTTTAAAAAAAAGAAACAACAACAAAAAAACAAAAAGCCTGTCACGTTTCATTCTCTGTCCTGAACTCAGTGTTGCCAGCACCAAGCATTCAAGGTAATAGGTCTAGCACAAGGATTTCAGATTAACTCAGCCACCCGCTCATGGTGGTCCACTCATTTGTTTGGCACTGTTGTGACACAGGGATTTTATCGTAAAGGGGAGTGATGATACCAGCTTAGTGCTGTGTCATGGTTTTAGCCACAGAGGACAAGTTTCAGCCAGAATGTGCTACTGTTTCAGCAGGTCACTTGCTTGACTTGAGTTTGAGAAAGCTGTTACTTATCTAGTAATTGATCTTTTGTAAATGCTGAGAGATCTTAGTGTTGGCACCACTGCTACAAAAGTAATATGTATTTTTGCCCTGTTGCAGTGGGGTTTATGGCATGTTGTTATCGCTCCAAATAGCCTATATTGAAATGAAGGAGAGAGAATGGGATAAGGGCAAGCACAAAGTCCTTCCTGCTTCTGGAACAGAATAACCCCATGTGCACACTGGGTCAGGCTGATGACTGTGAAGCAGCTTAGCAAAAAGGGATCTGGGGTCTTGGCGGACAAGACATTGAGCATGTCAGTAGAGTGCCCGTGCAGTGAAGGGCAATTGTGAGGCCTTCAGAATATTTACAGATACCACAGTTTGGAGCTGGTAGATCTTTCTGCTATTTTGCTTGCTTATAGCTGGGACCACTGGGACTACTCCTGGCAGGGACATGAAACAGAGGTGATGCAAGCGATAATATTAAGTCCAGGAAAAAGTTGTGTTCTTCTTCATATTGGCCAACTGAAAGGAGTTTTGTGGTAGACTTTCTGGCCATTAATTCCAAAATCCATCTGCATATCATTGCTTGTGCTTCTTGTTCCCTTGTCAAATGCTTTTAGCATTTGTATTATTGGCAGGCAACTGCCTGGTGGCTCAGAAATTGCTAGAGATTGCGGTCCTAACAAGCATTTTTTAGCTTCATCCAGACAAGTGCAAACACTTAAAAGCAAAATCAAACAATACCAAAATACCCCACAGTTCTGTTTTTGGCCGTGAAGATGTCATTACAGCAACTGCTGACTGTCTTAACAGACTCCAGTTGTCCATTCTTGGTTGCTTGTATCTTCCCAGCATTGAGTAGTGGAAATAAAACTGCCTTTTTTGGCAGTATGCAGTCCTTCAAGTCTTATGGGACTTTGGTCTTTTATTGTTTGATTGCTTCGAGTGTGCTAGATCTTCACTGTGAGTTAACCCCAGGGATAGTATCGTGCTGAAGTCATTGCTCACAGCCTTAGCTAATGGATGTAGCTCCGCTAAAGCTTCTTTCATGCTTCCAGTGAAACTGTGCTTAGGCTACATGAGCTCTGGCTCTAGTGCCATTTTGTCCACCCTCCTGGTTCAGCTGGGAATACTGTAGTTGTTGGGAATTTAAACGTATAATCAAGTTTTCACTGTGGGTACTGTGTTTACTTTTTGCATTTCATGAGGCTCAATAACTGCGTAAAGTAATAGCCATTTCTTTCTTCAGGATTCATTTGAAATGACACAAAGTTGGTTTGCATATATTACAGAATAGTTATGGTTAAAATAACTCTGGAGCTTGTTGAAACTAAAACGTTTGATATTCATGAAAACATCAAGAGAGCTTGATTTTTTTTGAAGTCTAGTTTTGGACCGTATTTGATAGACTGTTTCTTTGAACTTGATTTTGTTGTTTGGTTTTGCTCAATAAATTTTGTTGTATAGTATATTATACTTACCTCACACAATCGTACATCACTGTGTTTCCTGTGTATAACTTTCATGCTTGAGTAGTAAACAGTGTTGCAGCTTTTACTTTTAAGGGTAGTACAGTAAGGATAATCAAATCCCATTAGTGCACATTGCACAAAAAATCATAATTCTGAATTTGAATCTTTTATCTAAACACGTGCTGTGTGCCCAAAGTAAATAGTTCCTAAAATGGCAGCTTTGATTGTTAACAGACTTCAGCAAGATATCTTTAGTGTAAACTAGCCAGTAACATAGAACTCACTAACTGATAAAATAACCACGCAAACCTATTACTTTATATAAATATAAATATTTAATAACAACTTATAACATTGCATTAAATCCTTCTCCTTCCAGATATTTTAATTTATTAATAACTCACAGGCAAATAGACACAAATGCAGAAAAGTGCACCTTTTTTAAATCGTGCTGTCCAGTCATTAATTGCTGCCTTTACTGTTCTGCCCCAAAATGCAGGTGATGTGGGTGGGTATTTGTTCAAACAGTGTGGGATGGCTGCTGCATGGAAATAGCCTGCCACTGAGGGCAGTGGTGTACTGGTTTAGTTTCTGGCAGCTCTGGGCCTGCCTCTTTGTCTAGAAGAACTGTATTAACTCTAGTATGCTAAATGTCTTGGAGACATTTTGCTGGTAACTGTAATCAGAGGCTGATAAAAAGGTTCCAGTGCAAACTTAGCTATAGCTTAAATATTCACATAAAAGGTTGTTTATAACTTTTCTTGCCGGCTCAGTCTTTCATTTTCATAGCAATGATGCCAATGTTAATTAGACTTCAGTATTCTACACGTTTATATTTAAGTGAGTTGTTGTAAAGGGGAGCTTAATTCTGGCACCTGTCTGTTCTCACTCAGCACCCCAGAAATTCAGAACATATGTTTTCTGAAAGACATGCCAATATCTTAACCAAGGGAAAAGGGAGAATTACTCTAATCTAGCATCTCATTAGTGAAGAGAAGATCCAGGCAATTGGCTTCAGCTTACGCTCTGACTCAGCTCATTTTCTCAGTCTCCATTTTCTTTTAAAGTGCCTTTTATGGCTATAAAAAAGCACAGTGCGCCAAGAGTTGAGAGAAGATTGGGGATGTAGCCACGGGTTTGGCACTGTTCTTCACGTGGAGGAGATGCACAGTGAATTGATTCAGCAGCAGGGGACAAGCTAAGTATAGCTGGGGTCTGCTTGTGCTTGGCTGTGCTCTTGAGGGTGACTTGTAATCGGTGCGGGTGAACTCTGAGCTTGGGTCTCAGTTTTTGCACCCTCTACCACAATAGCTTTGGGCCCCCTGATTAAAAATGATCTCTGGAGTGATTCCAGTCTCCCCGCAGAGGTAATTTTTAATCTGGTTTGAAGACAGTTGAGGTGAACAAAACAACTTTTGAGCTGAGTAAGTTTAAGAATGTCCAAAGGAATACTGATGAGCATAGCTGGCGTTTCGCTTACAGTGTGGAGGTATTGATAGAAATACATTAAATTAATCTTGGTCCTGTTTTTTCTGAACATAGTTCACAGCATGGGCTTCAGCCTCACGGCTGGTACCCTGATACACTCCCAGTAAAGCAGTGCTTTCTCTGGGGACCCTGCTGTGAAGTAGAAAAGACCAGCCGGGTGTGTGAACTGCAAGTCCCTTCTTTGATGGTGCGGCAGTGCCAGGTACCCAGGCAGGCGGAGGGAGAAGGGCCCTCCTGGGCAGCGCGGCTGCCTCCGGCTGAGGAAGAGCCTCTCCTGGAAGCGACCCTTCTGGCTGCTCTCCCAGTGCGTTCATGTGAATCCTGCTGATGCCTCAGCAAGGTGTATGGTGTTGATTCACACCAGCTTCATAAGCTTGAATGCATACCAACAATCTCACTCTGGAGGCAAAATACATGTAATTGACTTTCTCCTGGCGTTATGCTTGCACAGCTAGGTAAAAAAGCAAATGCTCTCAGTAAGAGTAAATGCTCTCTGATGGTTTGTGTGATTAAATGAGCTGTGGTGCAATGAAGTGAGTACACATGTAAGTGCAATATGAAATTTGGTGTCATGTCTGTTCCGAAAGCAGGGGTGATTGTGAAACCATTCTTAAAGTTTTTAGAGATGTTGAGGACATGTGAAACTACCTTTTTTTTTTTTTTTAAATACAAGTTTGTTCCATTTGATAGCTAGACTAAAATTCTTTAAAAACCAAAAATTCTATTGAACGTAGTTTTGACCTTGTGTAGAAGACAAAACAAACCAAAACAAAAATCCAAAACAAAGAGTGTGAAAAGGCTTCTTGGGATTTCAGATTTGCTTTTAATTTTGTGGGGAATGTGAACTCAGACCACTCTGAAACCCTGAAGTGTTTGGCCTTGTTTGTTTTACAGATAATGGTTTCATTTGTTAAAATTTCACAACAGAAATTCTTTTCCTTTTTGTTTGAAAAGTAGAACAATCATGTGACTATATGTATGAGTAGAATATATATATATATATAATGTATAAAATAAATTGGTATAAAATGTTCTGTATTTTGCTTATGGAGTAGTTCTATAAATTGCATTATTCTGTGATTGGAGGCGTGGGAATATATTACAATTTATACCAAAACCCCTAAACAAAAACTTTTTATTAATATATGCATATATAAAATAAATCACCTTTTTTGTCATACTGAATTTCATCCTAATGCTCTCTCTTAAGCACCCTGACTTATTTTGTGTGCTAGCTAGTTTGGTAGCAATTGCTGTAGAAAATTACACAGTGTAATGTCTGCAATGCTCTGAGGTTTTTTAATTCTTCATTTTGAGTGGAAAGGGTTTGGAGCTGTGACCAGAGGTGCCAAGCGTGGACATGGACAGGCTATGACATAAGCTCGCTGTCTATAGGTGTGGACATGGGGTGTACGTACACCACCCTAAAAACTAGCTGCAACAGCAAAATTAGTCTGAGTGTGAAAAGCCAAGCTAAATAGTTTAACTGTATTTGTATCAAGTATCAACTACATTTAGTTGGTTGGTTGGTTTCTAAGTGAAGAGCAGCTTAATAAGCTTACAGCCCACTAGTGAGTAAATGGGGATCACAGTTTGCTAGAGAAACATTTATTAGAAGTTTGCTTGAGGTTGTTTTTTGTGGTGGGTTTTTTTTTTGTTGTTGGGTTTTTGTTGTTGTTGTTGTTGTTGTTGGTTTTTTGGAACAGTTAATATTGAAATCCAGAAAGAAATACTGCAAGGAATTGCAGTGACTTGTACTCACGTGGAATAGTACCTTACTTTATACGGGGTCCTTATGAATCACTGCTCACTGGAAAAATGAATGTCACGACCTGCTTTTCCCCTGCAAGAGGGGGAAGGGAGCAGTGCTGTTGGAAGTGGGGCAGGGTACTGCCTGAGCTTGGCTCTTTCTGATGAATGGCCAAAAAAACCCCCCAAAAACCCCAACAATGAGAAACAAAAGCCACAGCCTGCACCAGCCCTCTCCCTGAGTGGTGTTGCTCCTCAGAGCACTGTTGCCTTCTGTGAAGGCAGATATTTGGACTCACCATTCACCAGCGACTACCCCCAGGAGATGACCCCTCACAGAGCACAGCTATTGTGCTGCAGAATGCCAGAGTCCATTCTGAAGATACTTCCAGTGGAAACTGGGGTCTTGTTTACTACCAGAGGATTGCTTTTTATATGTCTAGGGCTTAGGAAAGAAAAAGTCATTTATTTTAGGAGCACTTTGCAGTTCTGCAGTGCTTTCTTAGTCTTTACAACTCCAGCAAGCTGCAGAAATGGCACGTTATCTGGGGCAGAAGTTGATAGACAGATGTGAATTTAAAGCACGTGGGAATGTTTCTGGAAACCTGTTCTTGCATAGAATTAAATGATGATTAAGAAAAAATCTTAGGCCAAGGAGGAAAGAAATGAAACTCAGGCTTTTGCTCCAAGAAGCTTGTCAGCATTAAGTGTGGGTAATTTCTCTGTGACAGGCAAGTGTGGAAACCCACCTAAATCTAGTTACAACTTGTTTGGGTAATAACTGTCTGCTTTCACAGAGTTGTAATTTACTTAAAAAAAAAAAAAAACCCAAAACTTTTGTGGTTTCTAATTTTCACGCTTAGACTGTGCTCAAATGTGAAAGTATTTATACTTGTTTGAAAATCATATAATGAACATAACTTGCAAAACTTACTTCTCCCAGTGAGCAGGTGTGTGCTTTAGCACATGCAAAACTAGGTATGTGAAAGTCAGTTGTTTGGAGGGTATGTGTGTGTTGATGGTGTTTGGGTTTTTGGGGGTTTTTTTTTGAGATGCATGGATTGTAAGAAAGGACCTCGGAGGCTTTGTTGCAAAGCTGCCTGCTTTATCTTTGTGCAAGTTTTCTTATTTTTTCCTTCAATTAAAGCAAAAATCACCAAAAAAGGAAAAACAAAATTCAGTTAGTAGGTCTATGGTAGTGTTAGGAGTATCACAGTGAATACATTGATCAGGAACTGGAGTAGACTTTGTCTTGATGTCATAATCTTTATCTTGCACATGTGTTAGCTGCTACTTTGCCAAAATCTGAATATATGTAAACCTTTCCTCCCCATGCAGAGTGAAGATTTCCACATATATACACAGTACTGCACCAACTACCCAAGGTAGGAATGCTGGGTTCCCTTTTCTCCTTTGTACCTTCTCCTGTTTATGTCATCCAAGCTATAGTCTCTACATAGAGACTTTCTCCCCTCCAAATTGGAGGGAGAATCAACAAGTTTACCTTCTTTTCTTAAAAGAAATAAATAAAAACCCACCCTCATCTGAAGTTTTATTTTGACTCTTCTTGTCTGTTGTTGCTATTATCATCCTTTAGAAGATAATGGTGGCGCGTGCCTGTAGTCCCAGATAAAAACCAGTACGTGGTCTTATTCTGTATTGCTCCAAATATGTGATTCCCAGTAGGAGAGAATGATTCCATGTCAAAGGAAACTATAACTGAATTCACAACATAACTTAAAACACAAAACAAAACAAAACCAAAAACCAGCAGTGACTGGATGAGGAATCTACTGCCCCCTTTTACAAGGGAAGAGAGAAACAATTCTTGATTTTACTTACAGGCACAATGTGTCTTAAGGTGATGTATTGACGTTTCCAGGTCAGTGGCTGTGTTGACAGAGTGCATGAGGAACAAGACACTGGCCAAGTTTTTCAGAGAGCGACAAGAAGCACTGCAGCATTCTCTGCCCCTGGGCTCCTATCTCTTGAAACCTGTCCAGCGCATCCTCAAGTACCACCTGCTTTTGCACGTAAGCACCCATTTTGTATGCGCCACGTATTTTGCTTAGGGCTTCTGCATGTCCGAGTTTCGGCCTCTGGTACAAGGCTTGATTGTTAGAGAGGTTCTGGGTTTCTTCTGATACTCTTTCTCTTGGGGGTGTTTGATTTCTGCACATGGAGACTCTTTCTGTCTTCACCATTTCACAGCATTTGCATATATTTGGAGTGGGGAATTTATGGTAATTGTTTTAGACACGTTGAACCAGTCTGTGCATCTAAATATTTCATTTTTTCTTTTTAAAAAAAACTAGTCGGTAATTCTGAAAATCTTTGGAAGATTCTTGTCATGATTAAATACTTTTGTACACAAATTTATTGTTCCAACAAAAAATAGCATTTTTCCACATGTTGCAATGCTGGGGGTGGTTTGAAAAAAAAATGACTAAATACATATAAACGTCCTGATTGGTAAAATTTTTGTGGAGAGGAATGACTGAGGAAGTGGGAACTCTTTCCATACTCAGTGAATTGAGTTAAGCAAGTTTCGGAAATTCCTG